GTCTACAACTTTGGATTAAGGTAATAGGGGGGTCAATCTTATATTTTTATTGAGTAAAACTAAAAAAACAGAAAAAAATTTTAAAATTAAAATTTTTTTAAAAAATTATAAATTTTTTTTTTCTAAACAACTTCAAATTTTTTATAAATATTAAGCAAATAAAAAGAAGTTTTAAATGGTATATAATCTTAGTTTTTATTTTAAAAAAAAAATTATATTTTAAAAAAATAGATCAGATATGAATTTATAAAATTTAAGCAGGCAAATTTGCCTGCTAAAATTGGACGGTTTAAGGAATAATCAGTGAGGAGTTAATGTGAGTTTGATATAGTTAATTTAGAGTCATTTTAATATATATAAAGGGTATGAGAAATAAAGAAAAGAATTCTTTCGCTTAGCCTTGAATAAAATACAGTAAACCCTCCCTCACCTTTGTATTGAGATGTTGGTGACCCATTTTTGATCTACCACATATATTTAGTGGTTCATTGTTCGAATATGGCAAATCATGGGTTCAAGTAATCGATCAAAATTGTTAGTATGTATGACGATGCAGGGAAAAAAAGCTCTCTATATAAAGATAATGCATAAACCTTAATGTGCCAAGAGTAAAATCAGATCGAATATATACATATGTACGTATTTAATGGCAACTACACTGCATACTGCTGAAACTTAAACAAGTCAATTCTAAAAGTAACTTATCCCTAATGAGTTGTTCTTTTGTTTGATATAAAGTAATTGGAGTTTTTAAATTTCCAGTATACTTACACTGATAATCAGAAAAAAGTTAAAACATGTGAACGAAAGTAGTATCAATATGTACAGGAATAATGTGATGCAACAGAACAATTGCGATATAAATGAAAGTGGTATTAATCATGCAATAAGAACAATGACAATATGTGAGCGAAAGCAGCATCAATCATAAATCAGAGCCAGTGGATTTTAGTAGCATCTAAAATAGCACTATTTTTTAGCGAAATAGTGTTTGTACTAAGATGCGAAATTTGCTAAGCATGTGACTATTCTATTTGTTCTTAAACTGATTTATATAAACGTACAATTATATGCATGTTGTGAATAATGACTAGTGAACTTACTAAAATGATAGATTAAGAACTCATCGAAGAATATACGACTACATTAAATTTTATAATTGACAAATATAAATTTTGTAATAAGCTATTTTGCTAAATTTGCAAAATTTACTAGCTAATTTTGCTAGCTAGTTTTGCTTCTAACAACCACTGGCTCTGTCATAAATATGAACAATAACATGTATGAGCAAAAGTAGAATTAATCATGCAATATGAACAATAGCAATGTGTAAACGAAAGCTGCATCAATCATACAACATAAACAATAATGTGTATAAGCGAAAGTGGCATCAATTACGCAAGCAGAGCAATAGCAATAGATACGTACGTGTGTATATCTGATATGGCAATAATATATAAACTAAAAAAAAAATAGAACAATTGTCAGTGAAAAAAATAAAAATATTAAAATAAAACAAATTTCAAGATACTTTTTTTACATTGCTATAATCAATTTTCTCAAGATACTCTATCTCTTAGTTCAGGTTAATGAAGGTGTTAAATGTGTTATTCCTGAACGTATAATAAGTATAGAGTCCACAAGTACATTTTTTGATCTTTTCGATTTAACCATGATGGGACAATATGATAATAGAGAGGTGAAAGTTTCTATTAGCCGAGAAAACTCTGAAGGTTGGAAAGAAGTAGACAAGGGGTTAGATAGTGACTTGAAAATATTAGAAGCTTTAGGTTTTATGCAGTTGAAATTTTGTCTTGTTTCTGATACAAATTTAGATACAACAGTTTCAACTCAAAACAGGCCAGATGCTTTTGACATTTTAATGAAAAATTCAAGACAACTTTTACTTCCACAACGTTGTACTGAACATAATAATTACCATCGGCTTTATAATGAAATTATTGAGCTTTTTGAAGCTCAAAAGGTCGGATGGACTTGCGGCTCTCATGAAACACTAGGAAAAGAATTTGTAAATCATCTTACAAGTGCTCTTTGGTATATTGACCCACATATTTCAACATTACATGCACGTTTATATCATTTACCAGTTCTTTTTACACAGTTAAAAACGTATCAGAATGGTAAATCATATGATAAATTTTATTATACTAGCTACCATAAAAAGAGACAATTATCTTAGCAAAGACTTGCACATCTTTTGAGCTCTCTTGAGATTTCTATTAGTCAATCATGGGTGAGTAGTGATAGGTGGTGTCAAGTAATGCCCGAAGTTCTATTCTTAATCAAAATTTTAAAAAAATATTCATACTATCTGATCACAACTACTGCTAGTATGAATGAACTGCATTATAGTAATGAGAGTGCTTGAAGTCCAGGAAATAACAGTATGATGTACCAAGTTAGTGCCTGTGAACCTCATCAACTTAAGGACGAATATACTCAATTAGATGATCTTCTATCTGAAAAATCATTTTATGAGCATGTTGAAATTCAACAGTATCTTCCAAACGATGCTATAGACTGATACAAATTCATGAAAGAATTGCAACTTACATACCCAATTGGCATATATAGGTTAGTATTTTGTTTTACCAATTATTAGCTTGCTTGATTTTCTTAAAATTGTAGTTCAAAAAAAAAGTATAATTTATGACCTGAATAAGATCTTAAAGTTATGCTTTTTTTTATACAACGGTTTAAATATTTGCATGATTCTTTAACTATTTGTCTTAGACTATATATCTTCGATTAGATTTTGTCTCAAACAATGATTTAGAACCTTCGATGTCTTAGTTATAGAGTTTATATTTATAATAAGAATCATTATATCTAATTTGTACTATTCTGACTTTTTAGATACTATCAAGGTAATTATTTGGGGACGATTAACTATATATGGAGAATTCAAAAAAGTGAAATATCAAATAATAAATAAGATGAAACATTAAAAGCACATATATTGGCCAAAATTCATGAAAAATTATCTCGTTATTTTACACAGCAAATGCAAAAGAATGTATTTAATAAAATAAGATGATATTTAAACATTAAATAATATAATATATCGATATTATTTATCTGATATATGATTTTTATATAATAGTATTTCTACATTCAGAAAGTTACACCAGTAGTATTGCAGATACTTCATTTTGATCTTACTGGTAATGCTGCCATAACTTCGGATGCAGTTAGTCATGATGTGGAAGAAAGATTAAGATTAATGTTAACATTGGCAGATCCTAATATAATCTTCAATTTGCGAACAAATAATGGATTCAAAGAAACAAAATTTGATATATTCTGGGATGAAACTGAAGCTTATTTTAATGAGCAAGTAGGATTTTATATTTTCTTTTTATAGATGTACGAATGCAAGTTTTTTTCTTTTGCATTATGTAATTCTGTATCTCTATAGTAGCTAGTATAAACTTTGACTTCTAAAATAATTTAAAGCTTGGTTCTATAAATATTAAAAATTATCATATGAAAATTAAAATTAAGCATCTTTCTAATTTGGGTTAACTAAATTTTTTAATCCATTTTTAATATGCACCTCAAATAAATTAAAATAAAATTATTTCTATATACTATTTAGCACGCATAAAGTATTTCCTAAAATAATATCTTTCTTAATTAAGACCCAGGTATTATTCGCCACCTATCTGGCTTTAATACCAGGGTAAATTTATTTAATTTATTATTTTTATATATTATAACTTCTATATAAAGTACCATATTCTCACATAGTACCTACTAGTACCATTCAATTTAAAAAATATTGTTATTAAATAAGACCTCAGGTACTATATATAGTGCTAAACGGTATATTTTTACATTATATAGTATTATGTTTTGCATACATAGTAATAATGCATATCGTACATTTCTATTCCTGATATATATATATATGCTATAAAAATAATTATCTTTTAATTTATTTTAATATAGAACTTTCTTACAGTAAATAAAAAATGCCATGGAACTGTTTTATACATGCCATTGGCCTTGTCAGTTTGCAATCTTCGTGAAACTATAGTGAAAAGGTTAAAAACTATATATGGTGATCCCCTACCTTCTGATATTGATATTCCATCAAATGAATGGATTCGGCTTCAATTTTGTCTTATAAACGCCACCACAACACGAGCAATGTATTATACAAGTCGATTTAATATAAAATTTAAAGTACAAGGGCGAATGCTTCGTAAACACAGTGAGGATGCACATTATTGTGCAGCACTTTTTTGATATCTTAGAGAATTTTGTATTCAGTATCGTCGATGGGCTTGTTTAATTTCTGCAGATGATAAACATAAGATTCCTATTGGAGAAGATATTGCAGTTTCTACAGGTGTACGAAATCGATGCTCAATAGTTGCATATGAAAGTACTTTGGCTGCTGCTGATTATGATTTCACAAAACTATCTCAAACACCATCTGTAATTTTTTTATTTCTATTCCTGATAATATTTCTGGATCATTTTATAATAGTCAAGTATATGTATCATACAAAGATACAATTTTTGAACCAAGCACCATGATTAGATATTCAACTGAATTTTTAAATGCACTAACAATTCAATATGCATATCAAGAAATGCCCCCAATTTTATGTCTTTATACTGATGGAGGTCCGGATCATCGTTGTAATTATGGCTCTGTACAAATTGCATTAATTAGTCTTTTTCTTTGTGAAGATTTTGACTTGCTTGTTGCAGTTTATACAGCCCCTAACCATAGCTGGACAAACCCTGCAGAACGAGTTATGAGTACTTTGAATTTGGGTCTTCAGGATGTAGTGCTTAAGCATGACTCAATGAGTCTAAAATCTGAAAATTTATTCGGAATGGTAAATTCACTAGGCGACATACGTAAAAAAGCTAAAGAATTCAATAAACTAGAGTCTGAATTAAAAGAGAGTATTACAGGCATTCAAGAAATATTAAATAATCGCACTGAATGGCTTAAATTAAAAAATAATAAATTTAAATGTTATTCCCCAACAAGTCAAGAGCATATTACCGAAGTATTTGAAGTAAGCATTTAGCTTTTTTATTATATCATATTATGAAATAGATAATGCAAGCAGTGTTAGAAATCTGTTTGAGATTTATGTTCTCATAAGAACAAATTTATTAAATTTAATGTTCTCAGAAATTTATTTATGTTCTCAATACTAAAATTTATTTATATCCCTATTTTTTAAATTTTTTATTTGGAAAATATTGGTCATTTATTCAAATTTTGCCCCAACTCTTTTGTCTTTTATGCTTATTTATTTTCTTTCCAAATTATTTTAAACTTCATTCAATTTCTAATTTTATTTCCATCTAGCATTATGTTATTATATTTATATTATATTTGTATAGAGAACATATTTTTTTGAGTGTTACGTTCTCCAATTTTTTTCATAGAAAAAATTTACAGAATATCAAATGTTCTCAAATCTAAAGATATGTTTTCATGAGAACATGAGAACATAAGGTTTCCAACACAGAATGTAAATCACGTTTTATAGTAACAAAAAATTCACAATCAGGTGATTGTGATCCAATTACAAAATTTTCCATTGTTTAATATTACATCAGATCAATTGGAAATCACCTAATTACAATTCTTTCTGCCACGACTAGCGTTGAAAATTCATTGGTTTTTTGCACAGCATATTTGTGCGAATTTTTAACACTAGCTACAACTATTCTACATTGAAATTCAATTTCTAGAATCTTATAAATTAAAACTACCAACTATATAATAAAAATAGAATTGGATTTCATTACTAACTAATTCATTTTCGGCAGTTAATTTTTCGTGTAGATCCAACTTTAAAAATTGAAGAAACTATCCAGACACAAATGTGCAATCATCCAACATTAATCGAATTTATTAATTCTCATTGTCAAACACATGCTTATAGTTTTCAGGCATGTAAACTTTTATATTACAGTTCAAAGTTGATTTTTTAAATTCAATAGTATTGATTAAAACAAAATTGCTATGTTTTTAAAGATAAAAAAATGCAATAATACTTCCTGTCTATACTGTAAGCCAATTCGTCTTCCACAAAATGAATTTTGTAATTTGAGTTTTCTTCCAGATCCAATCCCTTTAAAAGGTAAAATTAACTCAAAATTGAATATATAATTATGTATATTAATAAAAATTTAAAACTAAATAATACAGACCATTATGCAGCCTTTCAAAATGTTTATGAAACTAAAACTACTGAAGAATATAGGCCAATATATATGCAGTCACAAGCAAAATCTGAATCTATTTCAAAATATATTCCAATTGCAGAAAAAATTCGCGATTATATTAGCTGTAAATATTGCCAAAAACATTGCTATGTGTATAGCAATAAATTTTTAACAGACAATGAACAATATGATTACCAGCAAGCATTAAAATCATTTTCATACTCATGTGGCGCACTGATTTTCCCTGATGAACATTATTTGAAAGAAGTAATATTTGTATGTCTACAAATTAATTGTGATTCACCAATCGAAATACTGTATTATTCAAGCTACAAGGAAGGAAAATTTTCAATTTGTTACTATTGTAGAAATAGTGATGATTTGATAACTCCATCTCAATCTTTGAAGGAAAGTTTTAAGCAAATTTATCCATTGTGCGAAGTTTGTGAAGAAGGTGGAAAAAATTTTTATACTAAAGGAGCAATCAAGACTAATAATAAATCTAAAAAACAAACTAAACTTAGCTAATTTTTTCTTTTTTAAAAAAAAAGGTTCTAAACAACTTTGTACACTTTGTTACAATTATCAACATGATGTTGGTATTAAAAAAATTAAAAGAAGGCTTTTGAATATTAAATGAAAGCAGCTAAGTTAGAAAATTTGAGTGCACTAAATATAACATAATAGAACTTTGAAACATATTAGACTACACTATTGGCTAGAATATGTTAAATTATTTGAATATAAGTCTATCGAAAGTTCAAAATACAGTAGTTGATATAGAAGATTTTGACATAGTATAGTACTTATTTATAAGGTACTAATCTGGCAGCAATTAAACATGCTATTGTAATTAGTATCAGGAATTTTTTTATTTATATTTTATCTTATTTATTTTTTATTTTATTTTTCTTTGTTTTTTTTTTTTTATCTATTGTTTATTCAAGGCAGGCACAATAGTTTTTATTGTTATGCCTGATCATTTGTAATAAGATATATCACAATAAAACTATACTAGTTGAACTATTATAATAAAATTTCTAACGTTCTAATACAAATTCTAGCAGATGACACATCACTGATTAAAGTTGCAAACTGAAAAGAGCAAAATTTCCTTAGCATTTAAAATTTCTATAAACAAGATCTTCTATGCCTTTTTTGTTCAATTATGAAGTTATAGTGAAACCTCTATAAATGCACGCTCTTGAGACTGAACTTTAAAAACGTGCATTTAGAGAATAACAAGAAAAAATGTATTTATAGAGATCATGCATATATTTGGGTCAGGGGTTGAGCATGCATTTAGAGGGTATGTATTTATATATGGTGCATTTATAGAGGTTTCACTGTATTTAGAGATTAGATCTAGGTGGAAATTATTATTATTATATAGCTACCTGAAAAATACAATTATTTTCCCAGATAACTGAGTAAACCAATAATACTTGGGTGATTTCTTAAAGAGTCCAATTTCTAAAACAGTCAAACCTTTATAAATGCATCTGAACGTTAACAATGTATATTTAAAGAACAATAAGAAAAAGTGCATTTATAGAGGTCATACATATGGGCTTGGTGCTACAGAAAAGGGGGAAATCGACAAAACAATAGATCTTCGGAAGATCAATTTTTATGTTATAAATTTTATAATAAATCATAAGAAAATACAAACTTTAAAGAGCTATACTACAAAATTTTATTAATATAACTTCTTTCATGTTTTAAGTAAAAAATGATCCTAACATTATTCTAAATTGAGTTGTGTAAAAAAAAAAAATTTGAAAATTTGTCGATTTCCCCCTTTTCTGTAGCACCAAGCCCATATACTGTATTTGGGCTAGAGGTCGAGCATGTATTTAGAGAGGGTATGTATTTATAGAGGTGCATTTATAGAGGCTTCGCTGTATATTGCAAAAAATACTGATATAGTGAAACCTCTATAAATACACCCTCTATAAATACATACCCTCTTTAAATGCACGCTCAACCTCTGGCCCAAATATATATATGACTTATACAAATACATTTTTTCTTATTGTTCTCTAAATGCACGTTGTTAAAGTTCAGTTTCAAGAGTATGTATTTATGGAGGTTTCACTGTACTAATCTTATTTGCTGTTTGTTATTTTAATTGTTGATTATACGATGCTAAGCAAAATGCTTAAGAAATTCAAATTTTTTAATGCAATAAGTATCTTAACAAGTGATTAAAAAGAGAAGAATAAGTTCAAAGTGAGAATATAAAATAATAATACAGTGAAACCTCCATAAATGCATACTCTTGAGACTGAACTTTAAAAATGTACATTTAGAGAATAATAAGAAAAAATGCATTTATAGAGGTTATGCATATATTTGGGCCAGAGGTTGAGTGTGCATTTAGAAAGGTTATGTATTTATAGAGGTTTTATTTATAGAGGTTTCACTATAATAATAATTTTTAGTGTTAGCGATAAACCCAGAAGAATTATTTTTATATATCTACCCAAAATATATAATAATTTACCTAGGTAACTGGGTAAACTATTAATGCCCAAGTGAAATTTTTCTTAATAGGTCCAATATTAGAATTATATAATTTTTATAATTCATCAAAATAGTTAATGCAATATGTATACAGTATAAGAAACCCGGTTTTTTATATAGCAGTATGTGTAGATCAAAAACTTTATACAAGATTAATAGCCAATAAAATTGCACTACATTATATATATTTGTGTTTTATTTTAGCTCCCCCTCACCCTACTAGCTACAAATGTTATGTTAAACAGAAAATTAAATTGGTGTGGCCTAATTAATTTTCCACCATGATGTATGTTGGCCCTCTTTAATTCAAGCTAGAACTGCTTTCTTGGCTAAATTTAGTGTATCTCCTCAACATGTTTCGCTTTCTTTTTTAGATTTTTCTGTCTTCTCCTTACTATCTTCATTTTCTTCTTTTTTTCTTCTTCTTTTTCTGTTTATTTTATCCTTGGACCTTGGGTTGGATCTTCTTTTTGCTCTTCTCGTTATTCCAATTTTTCTTTCCCATTCTTGAACTAGTTTGCATCTTGTGATCCATATCCTTTCATAAACTTGTTTCATCCAGTTCTTCTAGAGTTTTTCTATAAAACTAAGAGTCTATTTGTTTGAGCCAAAATTTTGCTACAAATCGTCGAAGTTTTCTTTTGTAACTAGACCTCTAATCCATCTAGCTCTTCTTTGTAGCTCTTCGAGTATGCTACCTTTTTCTAAGACTACAAGTATTGACTTTTTCTTTTCTTCTATGTCTTCAAGTACTATTTTATCGAGAACTCTTTCTACTATTTGTTCTTCTATATCTCTTAAAAGGTTTGTTGAGAACTTGCAGCTAACCAAATGTTCTATGTTTTCATCTTTCTTCTTGTATATTATACATGTTGGGGTCTTGTATAGATTAGGTCTTCTTTGATTAAGCTTTGCTAGTACTGGTAATGCATTATTTACACATTTTATTTCGAAAAGCTGCTGTGTATTTGACTAGAAAGTATGGTTTTGCTGTTTTTTCCCACTTTTTAAGATTTTGTAGAAAACAGGCCAGTGTTGTACAACTTTTCTTTCTTGATGTGAGATATCTTGACAACCATGCGTATATACCCATTCCACTCTATTAATCACTTTTTCTAGCATTTTAATAAAAGAGCGTGTTGGTTTTCTATTAATTCGCCTTCCCAACTATATTTTAGCTTGAACTCTCTTGTACTCAGTGTGTTGGGAATTAAAAGTTCTGCACTGCCTGCACCTTCTTTGGCTTTAATATCTGCTAGATCATTATAAAAGTCCCCTGAGTGACTCTTGACCTTTACTAGTTCGAGCACTAGCTACTTGGTTTTGATCACTTCTGCTATCATTGCAACAAGACCACTATTCTTGGTTTTTATCCACTGTTTAACTTTGTGCATTTTAAGCCCTTTTTGAATTGCTAATATAGCTGCCTTACTGTCAGTTCTTATCTCTACTTTTTTTTTTTTAGTATTACTAGTATTGCAACAAGTATTGCAATGAGTTCTGCTCTGGTTGATGAAAACCAATTTTTTGTCACAAGAGCAATCTGATGTAGAATTTGTCCTTCTGAGACTTGCACTATTTCGCAACCCATTCTCATTATCTTTGAAACTTCACATGTCCCAAGTGAGCCATCATTATAGAAAACTAAACTATCTAAACTAGTGTTTTGATTTAAATATTCTATAAGTTTATCTCTAATATCTATATTTTCTACTATTTTTCTAATAATACATACTTCCCACCTATCACATTCTACTGATACTAACTCTTCTTTTTTCTTCTCACAAATCTCTTTCTTGGTTACTATAGTCTTTTGCTTTTTCTTTCTTAACACTTCAACAAAATAATGTGAGTAAAAAACTATATACGGGCCATTTTCAGTTTTCTGTATAATGTTTGATATATTACTCAATTCTTTTTGTTTTACTAATTCTAATATGTGGCTCTGATTGCACTTTAAAGCTTTTGCACCTCTATGTGTTTGCACTGTTTCATCTTCTGTATAATTTTCTATTTCTGTATACTTTTCCACTTTCTCTTTGATTTTTCCAATCTTTATATCTAAATAAGCTTGGTTTTTCCATATAACCTATTCTTTTGTCCTCTTGTCTACTTTTACAAAATTCAGTACTAGCGTGGGTGCATTATAATTGTGTGATTTGATTCTGTATACTGGTTTAACTTCTCTTGTCTCCATATTTTCAATCATTTCTTTTTCTAACTTCTTGAACCACTTGGTTTTCTTTTCTCTTTTACCTAAGTTGTATATTATTTTTAATTGCTTCCACGTATACATTTCTTTGCCATCTTTCGAAAGTAGCTGTGAAGTGGCCCATAAACCTAGCTTGCTCGCATTGGTTTCTTTCTAGCAATTTTGCAGCTTTATGGTCATTCGCTACTTGTGCTATTTCAGTGTTTATACTTTTGATAAAATCATTTTTTTCTATTTTGAAACCAAGATATTTTGCTTGTTGAAGTATTTGCACTCCCAAATTTCTCAATTTTAGCTCTCTTTTCCCTAACATATTTTCGTTTGTTGCAATACATTCAATAAAGCCGGTTTTTAATTGACCTTGGGTAAGTCTTATAGTCGTTGATTTTTTTAGAGGCCCATCTGCATTTAACCTTACTAAAAACTCTGTAAGAAGATACTCTACATATCTATTCCAGAAACTTTTAAAGTTTAATATTTCTGGATGTTTTGGTACTATATTTGCTGTCATAGATGGTATTGTTATTTTCTACTTTGTTAGATGTAGAATCAGCTGATATATTTTATCACATTGACTCTTACTTAAACATGAGAGCATAAGTCTGTATTCGAGCATGGGCACTAATACTGCATTGTTTATATACAGTATTTGACTGAGCGATATTTTTTGTACTTTAGTAAACCTGTTATCTTGTTTACTTCTTTTCTTACTCTGC